CAGGGCCCACAAGGTCATTTTATGAAGTGATTTCTGCAGGCTTAATTGTGTCGGGTTCCTGGCCAGTGGCCACTTTTCAAACTGGCTTGAGCTCTGATTTATTATATGATACAAAACAGAGTCCTGCACTCTGTGAAGCTGACAGAGCTTCCTCTCCTCCTCCAGCTGCCATGTCTAGGCCAGTCTTGATGCTCCACCCAAGTACCCCTGAGAGCTCCTTCTCTCCCACTCAAGCCCCCATCGCTCTCCCTTGGCATGGGTGCAGGTGTGGTATCCAATGAATGACTAAATGTAGGATGGGTGCCGGTATATGACTCAGCTGTCACCTGGGAGCTGCCATGCTCCAAGGGGTAGATAAAATTGGCATTAAACCATACCAGTTTCACCTAGTCAAGAGCCCTCTACAGAACAAGTTTACCATCTTGAGGCCATGTCAGTCTCAAAGGACTGGGGACATCCTGTATCTTTTTCAGCCTTGGCAGTCACCATCTCAGTATTTTCAAAGAAAAGCTATCCATACACAGTAATTTGTGTGTTTGTGCATGTATGATGTGTAATGGGTGTGTGTGCTCACTGTATTGTGTGGAGGTCAAAGAACAACCTCAGGTATCAGCTCTTGCCTTTCACCTCATTTAAAACAGGGTCTCTTCATTTTCTTGTTTGTGTTGCATAAGCCAGGCAAGGTGGACCACTGGGGCTTTCCCTAGTCCCTGCCTCCCATTCCACTGTAGAATCAAGGAGATAGATTGCATTCACGTGTGATTGTGCCAGCTTTTATGTGGGTTCTTGAGATTCAAACATGGGTCCTCACACTTGTATGGTAAGAGCTTATCCACTGAATCATTTCCTCAGCTCTTGCGTGCAGTCATTTTATTTTATTTGTTTTTTGAGACAGGGTTTCTCTATATTGCTTTGGAGCCAGTCCTGGAAACTAGCTCTTGTAGACCAGGCTGGCCTCGAACTCACAGAGATCCACCTGCCTCAGCCTCCCGAGTGCTGGGATTAAAGCCGTGCGCCATCACGGCCCAGAAACGTGCAGTCATTTTAAATGGGTAGACTTTTGCAAGAACAGAGGGCTGTGAAAGGAACTGTGTACACCAAGGACGCCTTGTCCCGCCTTGCCCTACTTGGCTCTCCTTTCCATGGTCCTGACTGTCGGAGCTCTCAGCCCTCCTCCTTGTACTATACAGAAGACCTGAGTCAACTCTCTGGGGAGAAAACAGTGACAGATCTTTCCTATTTTGCCAGAAAGGGGTCTTCCAGGGTGTGTACAGCTCCGGGTGCTCAAATGAGACAGTGAACCGGGAGGTGGGTCACCTGAGGGGGTTGTTCTACACTCCCAAGGACATAGCATTTTTCTCCCCATCCTCAGAGTCTTCCTCTCAGACTCATCCAGAAGGGTCCTTCCAGATCATCGTTCCCAACCCAGGCTGCCCCTGGGATGCTACTGAGCAACTGCAGACATCTTCATTGCCAGGTCTTCACTCATGATAACTGGCTCAGGAGATTGGGTAGGACTCGGTAGGACTCACTAAAGTTCCCAAGTAGTGCCGGTGCAGGCAGAGGGACAGACAACCATGGCAGGAGAACAAGGGGGTACAAGACGTCCTTGAGGTTAGGCTGCCCATCCAGCAGCCTGGGATTTCTTAGAAGCCTCCAACTGAATCTGTTTCGGTGAAATGAATGATGCCAAAAATGTGCAAGCAAGCACAAGCGTGAGTGCATGTGTGTGTGTGTGTGTGTGTGTGTGTGTGTGTGTGTTTTCTTGTTTTGAGGTAGGGTCTCATGTAGCCCAGGCTGGCATCAAGTACCCCATGTAGCCAAGGATGACCTTTAGGGTCTGATCCTCCTGCTCTCCCATCCCAGTACTGGGAATGCCGGCAGGCACCACAAAGCCAGTTCCTGTGTTACTGGGTTAAGACCAGGGTTTCATGTATGCTAGGCAAGCTCTCTACCAGATGAGCTTGCACGACTAACCCTCTGCCGTCTCTCTGAATCTGCCGGCTTGGTTTTGTTTTTTTTTTTTTCCCCAACCACCTACTTTGATTGTTCTCCTTCTCCTTTAAAGAAAAAAAAAAAAGGATAAAATTTTAATTTTCTTGGCAGGTGGTTAGAACTGACTGACATCTTAACATCCCCAAATACAAAGGACTCACAACCTAAGGCCCTGCCACCCTGAAACTCTGATAAGCGGAGATGGCTGCACTGAATTAATGCCCTGGAGGAGCTTGGCCAGCTCATACATACAGCTCTCTGACCTGGCTGCCCAACCACAAAGCCGCTGCCAGCACTAAATGAAGGGCTTTACCAATCCCTTCCTGGCCAGGGCCCCCCAGAGGTCCTAGGATCTGGGAACCTGACTTCACCTTTTAAAGCAAAGAAATGTTTAACTTTACACCTGTCTCTGATGGAGGCACTTGCTGTCGTGGAGAGAACAGGAGTTTCCACTCAAGTCACGTGAATCTGGGTAGACGGCAAGCAGCCTAAATTTTCAGTCTCCTGTTTTCTCATTTGATGTGTTGCAGGTCTCCCAGTGACCCCCCCCCCATCCACATGGAAACTACTATCTTGGGGGAAAAAAAAACACTAGGAAGCAATATTTACTTTTCTAAAAATTCTGTGACCACAAAGTGGTAGTGCACACTCCAAATCCTAACACCTGGGAGACAGAGGTAGACCGCTCACTGTTAGTTTGGAGTCAGCCTGGACAACCTAGCGAGTTCTAAGCCAGCCAGATCTCACTCTACACAGTGAGAGCCTGTCTCAAAAATTAACTAACTAATCTGGTACGTGCCCCTTTGCTAATATAGTTGGATAGCATGCGTTTACCACGTCCCAAGTCTGCATGGGGCACGCCACTGGAAGTGTCCACATAGATGACCGATGCCGTTGTGTCCACTTCATAGACAGGGTCATTTGAGTCGAGAAAGATAGAAGCCTGGGAAGAAAGATCCAGAGGATACTGCAACTTCCCAGGCTGGCATCTCCAGGCTTCACGAGAGGCCGTCCTTTCCCTTTCTTTCCCTCACAGCCCCCAGAGACCAGAACTGTGGGTTGGATGCTGTTTCACATTCGTGTCTCCCTTCACCTTCACGCTGCCTGTTCTAGGCATCCACGCAAGCTTGTTGATTGACATTCAGGTCTCAGCTGAGCAGTCAACTGCTCAGAAAGCCTTTCCAGGCTCCCTTACCCACCCACCTCCAACCTCCTGCCACCTAATCTTTCTGAGTTATTGCCACACTGCAGATCGCCGCCTGACTTCTTCGTGTATTGTCTTCTATTTAAGCGAAACTCCTAGAACTTCTAGAAAAATATGGCCACACCTTGTTCATGACTCTACCTGTTGTGCCAGGAATAGTGACTGGCACATAGTAGGTGCTCAACCAAAACTAATCTGAATGGTGAATGAATAAAGCCCTCTTCTCTAATATGCAGAGAAAGGAAGTGACGGGAAGAGGAGCAGTTCAAAGGGAAAGAGGTGTGAATTCTAGTGCTCACACCGGGGCTCCAGGCCTCAGTTTCTCCTCTGTGGACTCAGAGAACTCCACCCACAAAAGGACCTGAGGAAGAAGGTGCCGGAAACCAAATGAGAACCGTGGTGAAGACCCTTTGACAAGTGAAAATGCGAGTTAAGTGGGAGATGTTATTATCTGCCGCCATCTGCTTGACTCTAATCTTTTCCCTCGGTGAGCGGACCTATTGATTGTGGCTTGCTGGAGGAAGCTCTCACTGTCTAATTACTGCCCAGCTCAGCCTGTCACTGTGTCCTCTACAGTCAGCACGCCCTGACACTGACCCCTGATGCCACAGCCCTCTGCATGCAGCCAACCTGGCGCTCTTCACCCAGCGTAGAGGGGCAAATCTCCTGGGATGTGATGGGATATTTTCCTTTTGGCAGTGAGCTGAAGTCCCCACTGGGTAGGGAGAAGTCAGATCCTGGTGTTTGCTGCAGCAGACAATGGCGCAGGAAAAGCCACCATCTCCATGAACCAACGCCTGCATCAAACAGAGGTGTGTTCTGTGAAGATACAGTAGTTAGATGTCTTGGAAGCAGGCACCCAATAGAATATTCTTTGCAAACTTCTTCTGGCATGGATGTAAGGAGTGAGAACAAATAATTTCTGTCTGGGAAACAGTCATAATTAATAGCTGAGGAGCATGAACAGTTCACGGTCAAATGTTGAAACGGGAGAGAGAGGAACTATACCCACGTTTCCCAACTCTCTTGGATTACACAAACACCCACCATCCTCACGGGGCCAACCCTGGCTATTGAGTTTAAACTAGCCTCAAAGGTATCTAGGCTTAAGACACTTGTCACTGTGTGTGTGTGTGTGTATTTGTGTTTGAGAGTGAATGTGTGTGGATGAGTGTGTGTGAGAGACAGAGAGAGAGAGAGAGAGGAAGAGAGAGAGAGAGAGAGATGAAGGGTTCTGAGCACCTATGAACGGGTCAGAGGAACATCTTGTGGATATTGCCCCTTGGGTCCCTCACTGGCCAGGAACTGGCAGGTTCAGCTAGTTGGCCAGCAGGCTTCCAGGGACCCACTATCTTCTCCTACCATATCACCATTGCCGGGGTTACAAACTTGCACCCCCATGTACTGCTTCCTACAGGGCTCTGAGAATCTGAACTCAGGTCCTCTGGTTTGCAGGGCGGTCACTTTACCAACGGAGCCCTCCTCAGACCTGAAGCTCTGTTAGGGGAGGGGTTAATACTGGGAAGTAGAGCACTTGCCTAGGACTAGTGAGGCCCTGGGGCTGACCCCAGAATAGAAAAAAAAAATACCTTACAGAATTAAAAAAATCTTTGCCATCAAAGTAAATAAATACAATTTTAATTAAGAGTATAAGGATACATTAGAGAAAGTGTATCAGTTGTATATCTGCAATTCTGTTTCAAGTTCAGTTCCTCAGAAAATAAAGAAATCAGGCGAAGCTCCGCCTAGATATGGCAAAGGTTAGTTGCACAACTTGATGAACACTGGCTGGGCAAGCGAAGGTCCTGGGTCACTTTCTCTTCTCATCTTAACCGTCAGCTGCTAAGTCACCACGTGCTCTAACGTTGTTACAGCCCTTTACCTTTTTCCCAAAAGGATTCTTACTGTGCAGTGTCTTCAGATGACTCTCAGGTAACTCTAGGAAATAGGTGATCTGATAGTTGGAGAGCCTGGGACTTGTAGATGGGGATTTTTTGCCTGCGAGAGTAGAATTGTAGGAAGATGTGGAAGTTGCTGATGTCATCTCTAGTTTTGGTTTAGAGGTGTGGTCTCATTATGTTGTCAATAGGGCTGAACTTCAACTCTTTCTGTTTGTTTGCTTGTTTGCTTGCTTGTCTTCTTTGCTCTTTTGTTTTTCAAGGTATGATTTCTCTTTCTCTGTGTAGCCCTGGATGTCCTGGAACTCCCTCTGTAGACCAGTCTGGCCTCGAACTCAGAGATCTGCCAGCCTCTGTCTCCCCAGGGCTAGGATTAAGCCCATGCCCAACTTAGACTGAAACTGTTGAAGTAGAAATAATCCTTCTGTCTCGAGTAGTTTTATAGGCATTATCTAGACTATGTGTGTGGGTGCACATGTGCGTGTGTGTTTAGTTGTTTTGGGGGGGGAAGTGTCATTTGTTTGGTTGAGATTGGATCTCATTTAACCCCAGCTAGTTCATTTCGTAACCCTGAGCTCACTTTGGTAGTGCAGCCCCACTTTGAATTTCGGATCCTCCTGCTTCTATCTACAAAGGGCTGGGAATGCAGGTTGTGCCGTGGGCCCAGTCATGCCTGCTTTGAAAGGACATTGTTTTAAATGTACTAATGAATCAGAAAGAAACTAAGGGGTGTTCAGAATCAAACAAGTAGGTGAAAGTGGAACTCTGGGGAAATGACTGGAGCACAGACATGCACTTTGACCTTGGAGGCATTTGCCAAATCAGGTAAACTCGGGCTTCCCCAAAGCTTATAGTATTTTTTATGAGAGCTCTGTCTTATATAAAAGAGTTTAATTAGGGTTGTCCCACACAGAGAACAGCACTCCTCCCAGAAACCTTAGGTTTACAAAAGCCCCAGTGATAAGTGTGAGATATCTCCCTCAATTTTTTTTTTTGGTTTTGTTGGTTTTCCAATCAGGGATATCCTGGGAGAACCCTAAAACAACACAGGCTATTGATCTTGGTCATCCTCCAGAACGTGATGGTAAGATCCTGTTTTCTGAAAATACTGCACACCTGAATCACAGAGAAATCTAGTTGGTTCTTCCTCTTTGCTGACTGGCTTTCACAAGACCAGGAAGTTTGATGTAGGCTGCTGGGAGGAAAGCCATCAATAGTCCTACCCAGCATCTGAACCCCAACAATGACCAGCACAGCCAGAGGAGTACAGTGATGTTGGGGGGCGGGGAACAGTCTGCCTTCTGATCGGATTTAAGGCTCTCCGCTCGGGAGGAAACATATGCCTGCCTCTGTAAACCTGGCCAAGAGCCCATGGGTGGGCAACTCACAGGCCCCAGATGTTCATCCACTACTGTGGGTCTGCTAAGTGGACATAGCATTACATAGTATTATAAATACACAGCTGTACCTCTATACCCGCAGATTAGTGCACAATGGTGGCTAACGCAGAAGCTCACAACCTGTCAACGTGCAGAGAGCAGCTGCCAATGAGGTGTTCAGCTACAAATGAGACTCGTATATCAGCCCTGCCGCCCCAAAACTCAGGGATCCTGGGGAGAAAAAGGGACAGAAATATTGTAAGAGCCTGAGATCCAATAGGGCCTCAGTGAAACAGCCTTTTCTGCAGTCTGTTCTCACTGTGGTGATGCCCCTCTGTGTTATTTAGATAAGTAAACCAGGGGCTGGGATGTAGCTCAATGGTAGAGTGCTTCCATAGCACGCAAAGGACTCTGGGTGGAATTCCCAGCACTAGACAGACAGGAGGCGGGAGGGGGAGGGGAAGATAAGGAGGGAAGGAGGGCGAAAAGAGGAAGAGAGAGAGAGAAACCTTCGTCTCAGTTAGTCCACAGAGAGTCCAGATCCAGGTTTTCTATACCTGAATCTGTCTCTGAGATTTACCATTCTAGCAGCCATGTTTACCTCCATATATGTGTGACCTGCCATTTCAAATACTATTAAGAGAAAAATCTTAAAATCAGCTAGAGAGGGAAAACATTACTTTTAAAGGAATGATTCTCATGGTAGCAATGGCTCCCCCACCACAGCTACAGTGGAAATTAAAAATAACTTCAGAGTCCTGGAAGGACACGCTTAGCCACCTTAAAGCCTAGATTTAGAGAAACAAGTTTCAGCTGGATGTGGTAGAGGCAGGAGGACCATCAGTCTAAGACCAACTTAGGAGATAATAGTGAGACTCTATCTCAAAAAAAGAAAAGAAGAGAAGAGGAGAGAGAGAGAGAGAGAGAGAGAGAGAGAGAGAGAGAGAGAGAGGAGAGAAGAAATAGAGAACAAACAAACAAAAACAAAGACAAACCAAGGGCCAGGAACAGTTTGTGGCAGAGCATCTGCCTATGTATAAAATCCTAGGTTTGATTATCAGCACTTCAAAACAAACTTTCTCCACATACATTTTCAGTTCAGTTAATTTCCCTTCTGTCTCTGTCTCTCTGTCTCTCTCTCTCTTTCTTTTCGGGGTTGAGGTGGGAGTGTACTCTGAGACAGGGTCCTCACATAACCCAGACTGAATTCCCTACACAATCAGGGAAGGATAGCTGTTTCCCTTGCTTGTACCTCCCAAATGTTGGAATCACAGGGTACCATGCCTGGCTCAATTCAACTAACTTGTGTGTGGGGATGAGTGGGGGGGTGCATGTGGGGAGATTCATGTGTGTGGGGTGCATTGTGTAGGGTGCATGTGTATGGGGCACCTGCGGGGGGTGCAGGTGTGTGGGGTACATGTGTGGGAGTGCATTGTGGGGGGTGCATGCATGTGGGGGAACATGTGTGGGGAACATGTATGGGGGTGCATGCGTGTGGGGTACATGTCAGGGAAGATATGTGTGGGGGGTGCATGTGGGGGTTGCATATGGGGGTGCATGTGTGAGGGGTTTGATGTGTGTAGGTGCATATGGAAGCCAGAGGACAGTCTCAGGCGCTGTTTCTCAAGGATCATCTACCCCCCCCCCTGCCCCCGACAGTGGACTCTGACTGGCCTGGAACAGTTCTCTAGAGCTGGAATTACAGACAGGTACCATGTGACTGGCTTTTTTGTTGGTCGTGGTTTGTTTTTCAAGCCCTGGAACTCACTCTGCAGACCAGGCTGGCCTTGAATTCACAGAGATCCACCTGCCTCTGCCTCCTGAGGGCTGGGATTAAGGTATGTGCCACCCGGCTTTATTGGCTTTTTAAAATAGGGGTTCTGGGGATCAGACTCTGATCCTCGCATTTTCAAGGCAAGCAAATTACCCATGGAACTATCTCCCTAGCCTCAGCCGCTGCTGTTGTTTGTTCTTATGATGGACTTCCTGAAAAACAAAATTACGTATTTAAAACAAACAAACCAGACAGTGGGATGTAAATCACAGCAATCATTGGAAGCGGAATTTGAAATTTAAATGATGATATGTCAGCTTATTCGTGGCTGCCGGGAAACAAGGTTTACCTGTTGAAAAGCAGATTATTGCTTTGACCCAGGGTCTATTTTGACATATAGCTGGAAGGGATACAGCCTACCATGACAGAGAAGGCAGACTAGCCGGAGTAGGAGGAGCAGGAGGCTGCTGGCCATGCACGTCTGCAATTTGCTGAAGAGGGCATTGAATACTAGTGCTAGCAGCCAGCTGTCTCCTTTTGCTGTGCAGCCTAGAGCCCAGTCTGGTAGAATGATGCTACCCGCTTAAGTGACCTATTCTAGATAAGCCCTCGCAGACATTTGTTTTCAAGGAGATTCTAGGTGCTGTAACACTGACAGTGTAAGCCATCACGGGTAAAGTTCCACAATAAAGCTCATCTGCCTTAATCAGGTAACAAGGCCGGGTTTAATTTAGCCTGAGTCCGGCTACAGCCCCAGCTGGTAATGTCAGTGAGTGAATCAAGTTTAAACTAATTTTCAGTTTGTGGTGGCGCACACCTTTAATCCCAGCACTAGGGAGACAGAGGCAGGCAGATCTCTGAGTTTGAGGCCAGCCTGGTCTACAGAGTGAGCCCCAGGGCAGCCAGGGCTACACAAAGAAATCTGTCTCAAAAACAAACAAACAAAATTTAAGAGAATTTAGAGAGATGACAACAAAAGCCGTGATTAGGTACAAAGTGGCACTGGCAATATTTCCATGATCCCTGAGATTTTGTTCCTAGAGATTGATTGGCATGGCCAGGATGCATAAGCAGGAAACGTTAAGCAATAGGCCAGAGGGTGAAGAGTCCTTATCTGCTCGTGTTCTGACCTCTTTGGTCCCAGCTGTCTTACTCTGCTAGAAACAATAGAGTTCGATGAGAAAAGAGACACTTTAGAAGAACACATTAAATGGAGCACGGGGGTGGGGGGGAAAGTCACAGTTTCCTAAAGATCAGATTCGCAGATTCGCCTTTAAGGTAATCATTGCAGTTAAGGGAACTGTGGTGGCCAATCTCCATCATCAACTTGACGATATCTAGAGTCACCTGGGAGACTGGCCTCTGGGTGGTGCCTAGCGGGGGTTTATCTTGACAAAGTTAACCAAAGTGGGAAGGCTACTGTGGGCAACACCATCCCCTAGGCTGAGATCCTAAACAGTCTAAATAGGAAAAAGTGAGCCGAGCACCCACGTTCTTTCGTGATCTAAGCCTCTTGACTAAGATTACAATGTGCTCAGCTGCCACAGACATCTGCAGCTGCGACTTCCCCCTTGACGGACTCTGGCCTCAGCCACTGAGTCAAAATTAGCCTTTTCTTACTCAAGCTGCTTCTGCGAGGGCACTTTGTCAGAGTAGCAGCAAAAGATACTAAGACAGGACCCAAACACCATTCTGCAGCATTCAGGAAAACCTTGCCTTTGGTCCTCTTCAATGAGTGTTCCTGTGAACCCCCTTCTGCCTTTGGATGGAAACCACAAGTGGGTGGGAGCTGTCCTGACATGATTCATCGAGTCAGCAGGGACCTTCCATTTGTCCCACAGCCACTTCCTGGGTGCTTCAGTTTTTATGTGAATTGACCGCGTGTGCTTAAAACAAACTGCAATACTTCCTTGGTCCTTCCATCCCTGACCTGGCTGATGGTGTGTGATGCGGGAGAATTGTCTGTATTCTGTCAATCATGTTTTAAATAAACGTTGATTGGCCAGGCAGGAAGTATAGGTGAGCCAATCAGACAGGAAGTTGAGGTGGGACAATGAGTATGGGATTATTCTGGGAAGCAGGAAGCTCCCTCTGCACTCCTGTCCAGATCACCAAAGAAGCAGGATGTGAGCTGCCCCTCTGAGAAAGGTACCAAGCCATGTGGCTAACATAGATAAGAACAAGGGGTTAATATAAGCTACAAGAGCTAATAAGTAGCCTGAGCCAATGGGCCACCAGTTATAACCTAATGTAGACTCTTTGTGTGATTTTCTTTGGGGGCTTACAGGCTGTGGGGTACTGGGCGGGACAGAAACCCCAATAAGCAGGCCCTTCATGTTACAGTGTGATTGCAACTGAACTGGGAAGGGACTCTGGTAGGAAGGGCTTGTGAAATATGGGGAATCAATCATCATTCCCCTCTGAGGGCCCAGTGGAAAGCCCCCATTGTCCAGTTACCCCTGTAGGCATTGCTCTCACAACCGCAGCCTGAAGCCACCTTCTAAGTAAGAGTGAACTCAAGGAAATATAGTTGTGTGGGATCTGAAGTCATTCTCTTCTCTGGGTCTCTAAATTGCCTATTGATTTTTGAAGGAATTCTGGCTGGCCTGAGCTTGGCTAATATGGCTCTGGTAGGTCTTTTCCTTCTTTCCGATTTCTTCTGCCTTGCTGAAAACCTCTAGATTACATTCCTAATGCTAGACACCAAGGTCTAGTCCCTAATTTGGTCCCTTCCTTCTCCTCTTAGGCTGACTACCAAGATCAAGCTCTCAAAGTTTTGAAGTTCAGCAATTAAAATCCCCCTTTGGCTGCCCTAATTAACATGCCAATCAAAATCAAACACATCGTCCTAACACGGGTTTCTGTTTACCTTATAAACTGTCATTCACCTATGTGTCCTGTCTATGTCTGCTCTATCCAGAGGCAGTCCTTTGTCCCCTGGGACAAATACCCTTTCCCTCTCTCTTGTCCCTTTCCTCTTCTCCCTTGTCCTCTATCTCCTGTCTTTGTCTCTTATTCCCTGTCCTTTGACCCTCTGGAGCAAAAAAACCTTCTTTGTGCTGAGAACTTGGTCTTGAAGTGTCTTGTACCAATATCAGTCCCTTCAATTGTTTTATTTATTGAGTGTAAACCTTTTTCTTTTCCCCAGCCTCGATTGGAGGTATGATCCTTCACCCTGGTTTCATTTAGAAACACCTGGAAGAAACTGAAAAAAATGTCTTATGGAGTGGGGTCTCACCAAGGCTGATGGGATTAGGATGTCTAGTATGAGGCACTGCCTGCTGCACTGTTGTGAGCTCCCCTCAAAGACCTTGATGCACAGCGAGGGCTTGAACTCGGAGTCTCTTCCAGGTCTGCAAGTCTGTGCTCCCCAGACCTGAAAGACTGCACACAGCCTTGGGGTGCAGCACAGATGTATTTTGTGAGGAACACCAGAACACAGCACATTGACCTCCACAAAAGTCCTATGATGGTCATTTCCTTGTGGTCTCCCAAATCAGAGAAGTGCAGGCCTCTGAGAGCATTCTGGTATTTTAAGGGGAAAACTAGACCAAGCCTAAGAAGCCTAGGTAACAGACAACAAGATGCACCATTAGAATCCTCAGGATGGACTTTTCTATTTTTATTTACTTTTATTTTTTTCAAGATTTTTTTTTAATGTGCATTGGTATTTTGCCTACATGCCTGTGTGAGGTTGCCAGATGCCTCAGAACTGAAATTACAGACAGTTGTGAATTGTTATGTGGGTGCTGGCTCCCAACCCTGGAGCCTTCTCTCTAGCCCTTATTTCCATTTTGAAAAAGAAATGAGGTAGGGCAGTGAGTGTAATTCAGTGGTAGAGTACTTGCTTAGCACCTGAATCCTCAGCACCAGAGAAAAGGAGAGTTCTTGTAAAAAAAGAAAAAAGAAAGAAAGAAAGAGAGAGAGAGAAAGAAAGAAAAAAAGAAAAAAAGAAAGAAAGAAAGAAAGAAAGAAAGAAAGAAAGAAAGAAAGAAAGAAAGAAAGGAACCCTAAGTGCCTGCAAGGTTAAGCAACCTGGCAAGTGGGTTGTGGGGTCGAGAATTAATCTCCACTGTTTTGTATTCATCACAACTGCTTCGCCCAAGTGAGGGCCAGGCCTCCAGCAAGAAGAAGAGACGCCTATCCACAGCAAACCCACTATTGGATCGCAGGCTACTGAGGTCCTCAGAGAAGACCTCCATCCAGCAGGAGTTGACTCTGAAGACAGCTGATCTCTGGGTCTCCTGTGCAGGGAGACAGTGCTCTCGACTGGCACACATCAGGCCGCCAGTCACAGTCGGTATTTTACAGTCCACTAATTAGGCCATTTTAACTAATTTGTTTGCATTTTGTATGAGCAAGTTGGGCTTTTGGATTGACTAATGTAATTGCAGCTGGGTTCTGCCAAACACAAATTACTCAGTCTAGTGTGGGCTAGAGAGAAAAGCAAATATTTAATAGACATCAATACCCTTGTAGCTTTTTAGTGGCGCCTTTCCCCCCCTATGAAAGTTGAAATGATTTCTCCAGCATCTGATTGAACTTTCATGTTAGAGAATTATTTTTTAATCATTTTTTTAAAAAATTATGAGGCAAAGGCTATAGTGCCTCTGTTGGGGTTTTTCTCTTATCCATTTACCCCTAAGCTCAGGACGCTCACAGAACTTTTCCGGTTTCCAGGCCAACTCCTCACCATCTCTTCTGCTTCGGCTACTCCAGTGACTGCCAGGCAATCTGCATCGTCACAGCTAGCAGGGACCCGGTTGAGTACCTGATGCAGCAGCTCTCAAAGCATATCCCTGGACCAGCAGCTTCAGTCATGTCTGAGAACTTGCTGGAAAGATGGCACCTTTGGGTTTCCTGAATCAGGAACTGTGCAATGGGACCAACGGGTTCTGTAACCAGCCTTCCAGGGGGGTCGCATTTGTGCTGAACTCGGAGAACCACTCACGTGCTTCAATGGTCCCATTTTACAGATGAGAAGAACGAGGGTTGGGAGAAGTCTATGCTTCCAGTCAAGGCCCAAATCGAGTCTCTTTCTCCCATTTGTAAGCACAAGGTCAGCACAGCAGCTGCCTCATGGTGCGCTCAGCCATCAGTGCGGCTCTGCCGACTAATGGGATGAACGGAAGCTCTGAAATTCGATTTCACTCTCTGAGAATGTTCTTTTGTTGTGGGGACAGGTTTAAAAAAGAGGTCTTTCTGGCTTGTGAGTCAGAACACAGCTGATTCTCAGAGTACTCAGTTCTGAGACCTGGACTGAAGATGACCGTTTCACTGCCTTGCTCCCAAATCATGGGCATGTCTGGTTCCCTGCTCCTAGTCCAGTGGCTTGACCGGTCCCAATCCCACTAAGAATTGTTTCTGAGCTCTCAGATCCTGACAGCAACTGAGTTTATGTTTGATCAGTGACCTTAGTTCAGGGAGTAGATGGGGAGAAGGGAGCTGAGCTCCAAGTTCTGAGTAAAAGGGATATTTGAAGAGAAATTGCTAGAAGAAGGTGGGGTCAGAGCTGGGCAATGGTGGCACACATCTTTAATCTCAGCACTCAGGAGGCAGAGGCAGGTGAATCTCTGAGTTCAAGACCAGAACAGCCAGGGCTACACAGTGAAACCCTGTTTTAAAAAACCAAAAACGATAAAGAAAAAGAGAGGAAGGAAGGAAGGAAGGAAGGAAGGAAGGGAGGGAGGGAGGGAGAAAGGGAGGGAGGGAGGGAGGGAGGAAGGAAGAAAGAGAGAAAGAAAGAAAGAAAGAAAGAAAGAAAGAAAGAAAGAAAGAAAGAAAGAGGTGGATGAGGTTTAGAGAGGAAGTTAGCTCCCTTGCAAACCACCCGGAGCTCTGCTGTCTGAACCTGAATCGACTCTCCTTGGCTCCCTCTCTACAGCTCTGCTCACCCTCTAGGAAGTAGGAAGAAGAGAAGAGCAAATGGCGCCCACAACTTTCAAACAAACAAGAAACTCTCTCCAGAGAAAGTTCTTAGGTGCCAAATTCTACTAAATTCTTCTATGAACTAGGCAACTAACGGAGAAAACAACCCTTTGGTTCAGCCACTTCCCGGAGCTTATGTTCTCTTAGAACTCTGAGTTCTCGCTTTGTGACACAGCTGCCCAAGGCCCTTCCTCAGCTCTCTACCTCCGGTACCGCTGCAGAGCCCACAACCAGCGTCCCAATGTTTTGTACATCGCCCAGGCTGCCTTGGCATCCTCCACGTTTCTCTGAGCCCTGTCCCATTAAAGTTACTTGAGAGGCTGTCACCTCTGCCTGCAGAGGATTTGAGCTAAAGATATTGTACTGTAGTGTTAGCTCCTAAGTCAAGGTTTGCAGTGGACTCACCCATAGTAAGTCCCCACCATGGGAAGACAAGTCCTTCCAGGACAAGTTGTGGCCCACTAGGGTTTGGTTTACAGACAAGAAAACTGCCAGGGGGCGGGGGAGGGGGCTGTAGCAAAGCGAATGGGTTTCTGCTGGCTTCTTGAGGTGGGGAAATACTTTCAAGTGCACAAGGCAGTAGGAGAGTGAGTGAGCGGATGAGTGGGAGAGCACCTCTGTTCCTGGTCCCAAGCCTTCTTTTTTAAAGATGTATTTGTTTATTTTACCTGGTGTGTGTGTGTTGTGTGTGTGCACATGTGCACGCGGGTGTGTGTGTGCGTGTGCCATGAGCCCATGGAGGTCAGAAGAGGACAGAGGATTCAGTGGAATTAAAGTTGCAGACAAGCCATGTGGTGGTGGCGCACACCTTTAATCCCAGCACTCGGGAGGCAGAAGCAAGTGAATCTCTGTGAGTTTGAGGCTAGCCTGGTCTACAGAGTGAGTTCCAGGACAGCTAAGGCTACACAGAGAAACCCTGTCTCAAAAAACCAAAACCACACAAAACAAAAGGTAGCTGCTCCTTCTGCCATGGACTCCTTGGGGTTCTCTTGTATTTTTAACCCCATGTTGTGTTCTTTTTGAGGTGTATCTGTATGTGCTACACTGGTACTGTACCCCTGAGTCACATCCCCAATCCTCATATTTTTTAGACAAAGTCTTCCTATATAATTCAGGCTGGCTTTAAACTCACCACGTAATCCTCCCGCTTCTGCCTACTGAGAGCTAGCATGAGCCACCACACCCACATTGAGTCTTATTTCTAACGCTGCCATACGCCTGTTTTTTCTTTCTTACAAGGAGGATATTCCCTGAGTCCGTTTCAGAACTTAGTACCAGAGAAGTGTCTAATGATTTCTCTAAAACCCAACTGAGTCCAGGCTTTCTAAATGCCAGTCCCCTCGCCAGGCCTTGATGCCTGCAAGCGACAGCCTATGTGCTCGGTCAGCCGAGTCCAGACTAACCCACCCCAGGGATTCTGACTTAAACAAGCGAGGCTTCTGCTAATGTGCTTTTCTGGTGCTTCCTAGGGCTTCCCCGTGGAGATCTGAAAGGCCTCCAGACACATTTTCACCTCATGGTGTTTCCGGGTTAAAGAATTTAAATGTAAAGGCTTATTTTACTAACAAATGATTGTCAGTCACCACGCAGGAGCGAGGCAGTGCTCTAGATGCCAAGGATATGCCAACAAAGAAAACAGTGACAGTGGTGTCCCTGCTCCTGTAGACGTCCATGCTAGACCAAGGAGATGGAAGCGCATCCGCCGATGACTTCAGAAGAGGAGAGCAGTGGAGACAGTGAGACGCGGAGGAACGGGGTGAAGCACCTTGAGGGGCCACAGTAGACAGAAGTAAGCTGCATTTGATTGATGCGAAAGACCCAGCTATGGGGATGTGAGGAAAGAATAGCCAAGGCAGAAGGAAACTGCTCAAAGGTCTTAGGGCAGGGTGGACTCTGTGTGTCTAGAGGTAGACAAAGTCTCAGAGTCCTTGAGAATGATGGCCTAAGTGCAGGAGCTGAAGGGGTCCAGACTGTGACAGCAGCATCGTAGGTCTTTGCATCTATTTTATAGTCAAGGGAAGCTGGTAGGTGAGACCTTAAGAGGAGGGGACACCAGGTTCACAGGCACCATCTGCTGTAGTGGTTGCTTAGGTTTTTATGAAGCCATTGCATATGAATAGGCATGAGCAGTGCTAGTTACAGGGTGAGCCCTCCCACGCTAAGTATGAGCCAGTAGGCACAGAAGGACCCCTATGGCACCTCTGCTCCTACTGACCTAGTCCTCTTCTGCATGCTGCCTGTACCTGTACTGTCCTCTGCCTTCCTGCCTGCCAGGAAGGAGAAGAGTTCTCCCTCATCTCAAAGCCCATCCCTGGAATCTCAGTGGTAAAGCACACTCATCTTAAATGTTCACAACGCTGGGTTTTAGCCCCTGAGCTAAAAGAGTAAGTAATAAAAGTCACTTCAGCTGGACTCTGAAACATTTTGTCTGTTTCCCTCGCATGGTTTTTGCTCTTGCAGGGTCTTCGCTGCCCTTCTAGCTCCAGTCCCACCAGTGAGCTCTTCTTCTGTTTGTTCTCACATCCTCAGAACACACATCCTCTATAACCTAAAACAGGAGTACACAAACTCCTAAAGGGCCAGAGAGTAAACATTTTAGACTTTGCTCAGTCTGCTGTGGTAGTAGGAAAGCAGTCACAAATGTATAGAAATGGGTGACATGGGTGGTTCCAAAAGAGGCAGTTTATAACTCCAGGTGGCCTTCAGAATTGGCCCATGAACCATAACCTCTTGCTGGTCTAAACAAGGTTTGTTATAACAATGTCATTATAATGGAACTTCGGAGATGAAGCAAGAGGCGTGATGATAGATTGGCTGAAAACATGGAAAAAATAAAACCAGAGGGACTCTCAGAGCATGGGTCTTGAAGACAAGCCTCAGGAGAGTTAAGCTATTAAATATGTGAGATGCTATTTGATTGACAGCAGACTTTGGTCTAGACACCCAATTCTAGAAATGTAGCATGGGAGAAATTGGGAGTGAGAGAGAAAGATTGTGTGAGAGCTGAGATATTATATCCTGCTCAGGTCACTGATGGAGTTGAAGATGAGATAGTTCCAGTCCCAATTTTTCTTAGCTATGACAGAAGGTAAACTAGATACAGAACTTTGGGCTCACCAAGATAGGATAGATAATAGAGTAATTTCTCTGAACTTGTCAATACAAATACAAATACAAATAGACTGGATATTGTACACTGTGCGAAAAGAGCTTTGGAGAAAGTAGCATGGGCTATTTCATTTTCAACTCCATCAGAGACTTGGGAAGGGTATAATATTACCTGAGTAAACAGGAAGTGCAGAACAAATAACTTCCAAAGCTATAGAAATGAGAGAGACAGCTGGGAGCCTGGATAGTCACACAAGTTTCCCCTGCAATGCTGAGGCATCCATCTTCAGTCTACCAGCCTAGAATATCTGACAGACTTTCCTGTGAAGCAGGAATTTTGAAGGACTGTCCTACCTTATCTTGGCAAAGTTCAGCAGTTGCCTTTTTTTATATCTTGCTTGTCCAATTTGTACAGCATTCTGTCATCAGTCAGAGCAAGGTCATAATCTTGCCTTAGGTGGCTAGTTTTTCCACATAGAAAGTAAACGTCCATTTGGAGGTTTTTTGATGACCGTTATTGTTTTTCTGAAGTAAATTGGTGCTATCAGGAATAGACAAGCTTGTCCCATTATCATGAAAAACTTTATGCTATTAAAACATAGGTCTTTGAAGTTTAAAGACTATCTATCTAAAATATATCTCTGTTTAACCTTGAAAATATATCTAACATGACTATAAGCCTGGTTATTATAGATGACTAATTACTAACTTATTTATTATCCAAAATAGCTTTTAAGGACTAGAAGTTTATATTACATTGTTAAATGAGGTGCATAAGTAAAACACCTTAATCAAGAGTAAAAACATATATACAGTATAACAAATACAACCTTAAATTTGCATCAATATACAAAAATCATACCAATATAAAATACTTGAGATATGACTATTCAAAAGTAGACTCAATGATCCACCCTTTTATTTCATCATTTCTATACTATATCCCCCCCCTTGCCCTTCAGAAAGAGATCCCTGAATCTAATCTCCTTTGTTCAGTTTTTTCTCTGACCATGACCAATAACAGCTTGTAGTCAACCCTTCCCCAAATGATAACAAACATCCATAACCCACAAATGACCGACAAACATCCCCCTACCTCTTGGAAATGT